TAAATTTCACACCGGTTAAGCTTAAAATTTAGTTGTGTGTCGGTTTAATAATACTACTAATAATAATAAATTTATGTTTCATTGGTCACTAATTTATCTTTCTAAGTTTATTTTTAGAAAAAATTATGCTCATCTTTTCTCATATTTATTTACATGATACACATCTTTTCTTTAAATTTTAAGAATTATTTACCTCTATTGCAGTAACGTGTTAAAATAAAATAAAAATTAATTTATATTCTTTCAATCATATTAATATCTATCTTTTATTTATGAATTATAGATAATACATTGCCTTTTTTGTAAATTTTTTTATTGTTCTATTAATTTTAAAAATAATAATTTAAAATTATTATATTTAAATTCTAACACTTATGATATTTAAAATATAACTTAAAAATTAAAATTGAGTAAAAAGTTAAATTTTATTTAATTATTGACACTTGTATTTATAGTTTTTTATTTTTTAATAATGTATAAATAATATAATTTTATATAAAGAATTATATTTATCACTTAAATAAATAAATAAATAACAGGAGAGGTATACCTTAACGAGATCAGTATAATTTTTTTAATGTATTTAAAAAAATTATTAAATTATTTTAGATCTGGTCATTAGGTTCAAACTTGCATGGCACATCCAGATCAGACCAAGGAGCAGAAGGAATAATTAAGTTAGGCCCACAAAAATTACACTTAGTTTTTCTTCTTCTCAGATTTACCCTTCTTGAACCGATATTTGTAGATATGATCATATGAATATTTACCTGTTTTCGTTCTTGGATCTACTCTCACAATCACACCATTATTTCCCAATAATCAAATCCTATACAGCACGTTCATACACACCATTTACAATTTCCACTTCTTTTGTAAGAATCGATTACTTACATATGTCTCAATTTTTTTCTTTTCAAAACCATGTTTAACATTAATAAAACCTCACCCCACCAATTACGTCTTGAATTAAGACATATATAACCTTAATGAAAGATATTTTCTGTTAAAAAAAAATTAATACGATAAACATTTTAAATTAATTCTTTTAAAAAATAAACAGTACTTAAAAAAATCAAACAACTTAAAGAGTTCTACTAGACAGAGTATTTATTACATCTATGGAAAATACATTCAGTCGCAAATCGAAACTACCATCAATGGTGACAGTGATAATTTCATAGTCACGTTGAATAAGACAATTTATTCAGCGATGAGTTATTAAAACCTCCTTAAAGAGATGTTACACTTCCCAAAAAAAATAATAAAAAAATAAAAAGCGTGTATCTCAGCCTCAAAGATGGAAACTCCCATGTGCGCATTCAACCTTCGGTCAACTTGTGTTGCAGTGCATAAGCAGTAAACAGAGAGAGCGAAGAAAATTCAAAGCATTGATGATTAAGTTGACGACCGAATGCATGGTGCTAAATTAATTGCTACAACTCATTATTACAATCATTGGAACTCCCTTATAAATACATTGCCAGCTTTATACAATGTGTTTCTCTTTCTCTATCTCTCTCTTTGTTGTTTTCTTCTGTCCTTCAAATGACACCACTATATCTCTCTCTCTTCATCTAAATCTGATTTTGGACCAGTAGATGCTCTTCTGCACCTGGCTTTGGTTGAGTGAACGCCTTCAAATCTTGGCATTGAAGTCTAGATCTTTTCTATCACTGTGTTGGGATTTGTGTTTTGACTTTGACTCTTTGTAGCATTGGTTCTGTCATTATTCTTTTATATGGTTTTGGAGTAAGCATCTAAAAAGGGTAGGCAACCCAGAATTATTTTAGTACCTTTACTCGGTTTATATCTCGGGTTTGACAGAATCATGATGGGTTATTCTCCAAGATTCTGTCTTGTTTTGCTTTTGTCCATTTGTGGGGCGGTTTCTTTGGCTTCCCCCGTTGAGGATCAAAGGAGAGATAGAATCACTCAGCTGCCAGGACAGCCTAAGAATGTGGGGTTTGCTCAGTATTCTGGCTATGTGAATGTGAATGGTGGGAGAGCACTGTTTTACTGGTTGGTTGAGGCACCAGTGAGGCGTGGACCAAGGTCAAGACCATTAGTGTTGTGGCTTAATGGTGGCCCCGGATGTTCCTCTATTGCTTATGGTGCTTCCGAGGAAATTGGCCCTTTTCACATTAGGCCTGATGGCAAGTCACTTTACTTGAATCCTTATGCTTGGAACAATTGTAAGTCAAATTATTCCCATCCCCAATTGTTGTTGCTGTTGTTGAGTTGTTATTTTTTCACACGTTTTTATCTTTATTTGTTTGTTTTGGGGTATTGCAGTGGCAAATATACTATTCCTTGATTCTCCTGCTGGTGTTGGTTTTTCATATGCCAATAAAACAACCGATCTATATACATTTGGTGACCAGAAAACAGGTAATGTTGTTGTAACATTTGTGAGGGTAGTGTACTTTCTGATGCAGGGTTTCCTCTTAATGACAGTTTTGTTTGGTTTAGCCTTAGCAACAATGGTTTGGTTTGTGAATTGCGATTTTGACATGCTTATGAGTATCCGGGATCTGAATTTGCAGCTGAAGATGCATACACTTTTCTTGTTAATTGGTTTGAAAGGTTTCCTCAGTATAAGCATAGAGAATTCTACATTGCTGGAGAAAGTTATGCAGGTGATTCTATGTTTAATATGTTAGTTTTCTTACTAAGGATTTTGGTAGCGGAATCATCGATTGAATTTCCTTGAAATATTTTTCAGGTCACTATGTTCCTCAGTTGGCTCAAATTGTTCACCAGAAAAATAAGGGAATCAAGAATCCGGTTATAAATTTTAAGGGATTTATGGTGAGACTGTAAGATTCATGAAATAGTTGTGAATTTTTTAATCTTTTACTACTACCTTGTTAAAATCATATAATGGATTTGATTTTTCTCTGATTGCTATAAGGTTGGGAATGCTGTTACCGATGATTATCATGATTATGTTGGCACATTTGAATATTGGTGGACCCATGGTTTGGTTTCAGATTCCACTTATAAGATGCTAAAAACTGCCTGCGATTTTGGGTCCTCCCTGCATCCACCAGTGCAATGCATGCAGGCTCTCAAAGTTGCAGTTGATGAGCAGGGAAACATTGATCCATATAGCATCTATACACAGCCTTGTAACAATACAGCATCACTCAGACGCGGTTTGAAGGGTCGCTATGTGAGCTTCTGTTGCCACTTGTTCAATTTACCATGTCTAATTGCAAGCCCTTCCATTGCATTGTAGTTGTCAAACTAGAATAGTGTACTTTCAATTGAAAAATTAGCTTCAATTTCTTTTACTTATATTGCTTCTTGAGAAGTTTCTATCAATATTATCTCCTCAAGAATGTTATTGAAGAGGTTAACAAGCTTCTGAAATCTTCTTGAGGTAAAAGTTCGGAAGGTGAAAATGAATGTGAGAATACTATGGAGTTTTCTGATTACAAAATCAATAGTATTTCCTTGACTGGTATTCATGCATATTTCATTGATTTTTTTTTCTTGGTTTTTCTTTCCCTCTTGTGTTTGGCTTCCAAACTCAGCCATGGATGTCTCGAGCATATGATCCATGTACTGAAAGGTATTCTGATGTGTATTTCAACCGTCCAGAAGTTCAGAAGGCACTTCATGCCAATGTAACTGGGATTCCTTATGCATGGAAGGCATGCAGGTATTATTTTTATGCAATTTTTGAGATGTTTTCTTGAGTCCTATTCTATTATCTATTATAATTTTGATTTAAAATGTTTTTCTCAACAGTGATATTGTCGGGAACTATTGGACTGATTCTCCATTATCTATGCTTCCTATATATCAAGAACTTATTAATGCTAGCCTCCGAATATGGGTTTACAGGTACCTGCATTTTCTTTTTATCTCCCCTTGCTACTATTATTGTGTGAGGTGAAGTGTTTCAGTTATTTGGCTATTCTGATGTTACTAATGGATTTTGCATAGTTAAAAATTAATAGGAAAGCATTCTATTATATATCTTATTGAGTGAAATCTACTTAAAGTTTACAAAGAGATAAATAATATAGGTGCCAGTTCTAGAAAATTTTGGTATGTCTTCTACATATTCGGCTATACTGTTGGCGGTGAATGCTGAGTTTTAAGGACACTACATGAGAGAAAGGTGAGAGTAGGAAAAATTTAGAATGATAAGATGATATGTAGTCACACAAGAAGGGATATAATACAAAATGATTATATATTAAAAAAAAATTGGTATAGCACCGATTAAGGAAAAAATAACAAAAAAAATAAAATTGGTTAAGGTGATTTGGACACATACAAAGAAGGCCACAAGAGATGCTAGTAGCTTTTTAGTCTTGGGAAAAGGTAGATTGGGAGATAAGGACTTTGGAGAAAGTCATTAAAGAAAATCTTATGATAAATAATATTCCTAAAGCTTTGATTTTTAACCCGTTGAAATGTATCGTGTAATTTCTATAGCTAACCTCACTGACGGGGAAAGTGTAACATAATAATAACAACTCAATAAAAAAAAGTAATAACGTGTAGATATTAAATCTCCTTATTTGCAAGAAGCAACAAAGAGTACTAACAAAATAAAGCAAAGATAAATAACACAAATGCACAAGAGACAAAAAAACTTATAACTTGAAAATTTTCTTAAGGTAAGGGTAAATTACAAGTTGTTTGGAGCAAAGAAAAATTCACAATGATTAACAAATGGTACAAGAGAGTCTCCAAAGAATGCATCAAATAGTGCTTATAATTAGTCATAACAAACCAAACACAATTGTTCACAAATGAGAAATAAGAAGATGAAAAATCTAAAAAGAACACTGTTATCATGAAACATGATTCTCCTTCTCCAGACCTTTTTTCGATTATTCAACTGTTGAATACGAAATGTCACATTGTACGAGCTTGTTGTAAAAAATATTAGTCTGATTTAACAGTGAGTGAATCTCCAATTGCAATTTAATAAATGTTATCTGGTGGACATGTGACTTGAGCAATGAAACTTTCTTTTTTCTTTTCCCTCTATATTTTATTGTTGTTTTCTTTGAAAATAAGTCGCTCTCTCTACCCTGATCTGACCCCTTTCCACTTGTTTAAGTGATACATATAAATTTACACAATTTGGGCCTATTTCACATAGGAAGGGAGCTCAAAATCCAACAAATATTCCCGTCACAATTGTGTGGAGATAATCGCCAAACCAATAATTTCATTAGAATCAACAGCTTTTCATTGACTAAAACCTTTTACCACTAATCTAACTTAATACCTTGGAGATGTAAAATTACTTTCATGTTTCACTCTAAAGATCCAGCTATTATCCAAGACTCTTTTATTACCCTTAGGAAACTTCACCAAATAAAAGTGTGATTATCGTGCAAGGATTTCATCTCGTTATTCATAGCATCCAACCACTTTTGTTTGTCTTCACTTTTCATTGCCTCTCCAAAGCACTTAGGTTCTCCTTCATCTGTCATGATCTATACTCATAAAAGAAGTACCATATAGACAAATGTCTTTGCCTAGTAGACCTCCTGACTTGGATTAGTGATGACTCAGGTGTATCACCAAGACTTTCATCCTATGACATCTCATGTTCATCTTCTTCAACATCATCAATAGGAACATTTACCTCATCTCCAAATCGTTGCTCACCAACATAGTCATGTAGTTCACCATTCTGAACATCAGTATTCAGATTATGAATAGGCAATCAATTAGATCAACATTAGGCACACCATTATCTCCCTTGGGTGTAGACCTTTCCACCTTATCTATGTCTTTAATGGTTTGGTCTTCCACAAATTTCACATCATGACTTCTAATAAGCTTCTTCTCAACAAGATCATAAAATTTGTAACCAAACTCATCCTCAACATAGCCAACGAAGATACATTGTCTCATTTTTGCATCCAACTTGGATCTCTTATCCTTTAGAACATGCACAAATGCCTTACAATAAAAAACTCTCAAGTGATCATACTTGACATTCTTGCCAAACCAAATTTTATTTGGCACTTCACTAATCAAAGCAACAACAGGATTGAGATCCTTAACATGCACCTATGTGTATAGTGCTTCACCCCAAAAATCACTGGGTCTTTTGTCTTCAAAGTATAGACCCAAATTTTCTTGGAACATTCATTAATAAAAGTAACAAAATAAAGTGCACCGCCAAAAGATTTTATCTTCAAAAGACTACAAATATTTGAATGCACAATTCAAGCAACTCAAATTTCCTAGAAGGAGGATGCTTCTTGAAGGATACTCTAATATGCTTACCAACCATGCAATGAAAACATTTCTCCAATTTTGCATTCTTCAATCCCTTAGGTACATCTTTTTTAGCTAAACAATTTAGCTCCTTTTCAATGATATGACCAAGCCTTCAATGCCACAAAGATGCCTCCATATATACAACATTCGCACTATGTTTAGCAACCAATGCTTTTGTCCAGTAAAGCTTATAATTTCTCTCCTCTTTGGCCACGATCAAGTTACCTTTGGTAAGTCTCCATTTTCTAGAACCAAAGTGATTATCATAACCATTATCATCAAGCACCTACACAAAAGTCAAATCAAAATGAACATTTGGAGCATGCTTAACTTCTCTAAGCAACAACTACATTTCCATGTTGGTTTGTAAGCAAACATCACAAACACTAATCATTTTGGACAAACCATCATTATCCATCTTCAAAACGCCAAAATGCCTAGAGTTTAAGATGTGAAGAACTTCTTCATGCCTGTAACATGTAGTCTAGCACCACTTGCTCTCATTGAATACAAGATTAATTGTATCAAAATAACATAGAATAACACGATTATCACTGGTAGCGGAGGTAACACGATCACTATCATCATGATCTCTCTCTACTTATTCTTATCTTTATTCTCCTTCCACCAATTCCTCTATATATAGCCTAGTTTGTCACAAAAGTGATACTCAACATTCTTGTATCAAAACCTAGACTTACTCCTACTTTTGTGTCTACAATTAGTCAAAACAAACCAAATACAATTGCTTAAAAATGAGAAATAAGAAGATGAAAAATCTAAAAAATAGAGTTGTTACTGCAAAACACATTCCTCTCACTCCATACCACCTTTCAACAATTCAACCGTTGAATACAAAACGCCATGTTGTATGAACTTGCTGTCTAAAAATCAATCTGATCCAACGGTGAACGAATCTCTAGTTGCAATTCAACAAACGCTGTTTGATGGATATGTGACCTGAACAATGAAACTTTCTCTCTTCTCTTATCTTTGTATTTTGTTGTTGTTTTCTCTCAAAACGAGTCACTCTCTCTATCTTGACTTGACTTCTCTCCACTTGGTTAAGTGAACACAATGAACTTACACAATTGGAGCCTATTCTCCATATTGAAAGGAAGTCCAAAATCTAACACTCACTTAATGATAAAGCTTTGTTGTTGTTGTTGCTTCTTGAACGACACTACACAATATCTTAGAGGAAATTATAAAGGAATACGACAGCAATCACAACCAAGTTAGGAATCTAGTGCAAGGGAAAGATGCACCTTATTAAGAAAGAATGGAAAAACTAAGGACCATATAAATGGAAAACCCATGAACTTAAAACCTTGTTATTGTAGTTCTCTACTTATTTCATTGAAGAATAGTCTAGTCCATGATGAACATCTCTCCAATGTTATCCAACAAGGGTTGAGTCGTTTGACTGTTTGCAATATAAAGAGGTTCCTCTAGCATATGGGAACTCGAAAAGGGACAAGACTTGTAGTATTGATATTTGTTATTCAATCAAAATTAAAATCGGTATTTTATCTTGGTAACTTAACAACTGCTTTTATTTCAGTATCTAAAATCAACAATAGTTAATGGTTAAATTCCAATTTCTATTAAAAACAATACTAACAGTACAGTCAGTATTTTGTTTAAGTTCTGTCTTTTGAGACATGTCTAGAATAACAATGATTTTTTTTAGGCCTTTATATATTTTAAAATCTAACTGATTAAAATAATCTTTGAAGTATTTTTTTTTATACTCAAGATTTTATTTTTTTCCTTCACAACAATCCTTTAATAATACAACTACGGATTAGGCATGTCATGTTGTGGGTGAAGTTTTTGAAGATTCTGCTGTGTACGCAATTAGTGATGGCAAGGTAGATTTAACAAGGAGTAGCTGCCTCAGGCTTGTGGAAGATAATTCATGTCAGACAACATGACATACCCGTTAATTTTTCAAAAAACGTGATTTTGTGATACAAATTCTTTATTAGATTTTTTTTCATAGCCTAAACTTTTTAGAAAATAATCTATGCATCAATAGAGTAATTTTTTATTATACTATGGTTCAATCAGAAATCATTATATATAATAAATTTATTGTTTTTTTATCAAACTACTTGAAAGTCTTACATATCATAATATGTGATTACTTGATAATGGTCAGTGTATAATCATTAAAGTCAATTTTTTGTATTGTTTGTTCATTTTTAACCTTACATAAAAATAAAAATATTAAATTCTGCCATATTTTTTTGGTCTGAACCTTTGGCTGCAGTGGGGACACTGATGCTGTGGTTCCAGTGACTGCTACTCGATATTCAATTGACGCCTTGAAGCTACCTACCATCACCAATTGGTACCCTTGGTATGATAATGGCAAGGTTGGTGCTACTTTCACTTTGATATGAGTAAAAAACATGTGATAATTTTTTTCTGTCATGGTATTACATGTTAGCTAAGATTTTGTTCTCGTGTGAAGGTTGGTGGGTGGAGTCAAGTTTATAATGGGTTGACATTGGTTACTGTAAGAGGAGCTGGACATGAGGTTCCTCTTCATAGGCCTCGTCAAGCATTTATTCTTTTTAGGTCATTCTTGGAGAACAAGTCCATGCCATCGTCAACTTAATTAGACATTTGTTCTTTCAAGTACAGGTAGAACCATAAGTACCACAATTCTTGCACCAAGGCTAAGAATAATTGCCATTCATATACACATGGAACAGGCCGAGACAAAATAAGGAATTCAACCCTCATGAGTTCACTCTTGGTTCTCAGCCTGCAAAATTGATAAATTTTCCAATAGTAATTCTTCTATTTCTATTTGTTAATGGAAATGTGATTATTTCATATTTGTATGAAGTTCTATTCTTTATATGGTTTCCATTGTGCAAGACAAATGTCATATCTTGTATATTCAAAGGATCCTGGCTTCCAAGTAATGGAGACTTCTTATATCTATGTATAATAAGATCACTGCTAGTTAATCACTACGGATAAACTTCAACATCAAATCAACAATACTAACTAATTGGGGCATTGCATTCTGAATTAGAAAAAAGAGATTGAAAGCGACATAGTGTGACGAAGCATTCAATGCTGTCAAATGCTTTTGGGTTCGGTAATACATTGGTTTTGCTGTAGTTTAACGGCCAAAGATGCATTTGAACACTGACACATTAAAGAGAAAAAAGAGAGAGAAATATAAATATAATAATATAATGTGATAAAAAGAAAAGTAGAAAAAAATTGTCAGATGGGTGTTTGTGATGTATAAGTGGATCAAAATCCCCTGTCTCTAACTCCTGTCCTGAAACCCAGTCTCTCCAATCACAAAATGTCACATCATTATTTTTAATTTTAATTTTGATTTTTAAAAAATGTAGCCAGTTACGATTTGTTGTTGGAATGTCGGGCAGTTCAACATGACTTTTTTCCATGACCTTCACCACCATCATGCTTTAGTGGAGTGTTGTTGAGTTTGGTGGGGTCATAAAGGGTGAGTTGTAGAATGCAAGAGAAGTCATTCGTTGGGCCACAAATTATCTTCTCAAAGCCACTGCACATCATACACCATTTATGTTCAAGTTACTCTTCTCTTCCTAGTAGTTCCATTTCTTCTGTCATTCTTGTGTTATGTTAAAAGACATATTATTACGGAGGTGTTATTAATGGGTGCGTATTTTTGCAGGTGGGAGATGCAGTGAAGGACCACGCTTGTTAGGAGAGACTTGAGGACATGAACACCCCAAGAAGTGTCTTTAAAGTAGATAAAAACAGGGGTTGAACTGCCCAACATTCCAACAACAAATCATAACCAGTTACATTTTTTAAAAATTAAAATTAAAATTAAAAATAATGATATGACATTTTGTGATTAGAGGGACAAGATTTGAGGAGAGGAGTTGGAGACAGAAGATTTTGATCTATATATATATATATTACAGTAAGTGACTTAACTTAGCAATCAACATGCATATTAAGTTCCATTCTTTTGACATATATGAATTTTTAGGAACACCTTATACATTTGAACAACTTTAAAAAGTTAACTATTATAAAAATAAAAAAATTTCATTCCATTATAAGTGTTGTGTTCGAAAAAAAAATAAATTAAAATAAGTATGTCATGTTAATTTTTATATGTAGTACTAGTTATCTTTTTTTTTCATATATATCCCTGGTAATAATTTTTTTAGAAGGTGATTATTATGTTATGTCATTTATAATAAAAAAGATTAATTACAAGATTAATTTTATAAAATTATTATTATTTTTATCTTTTTTTTTCATTTATGTAAAATAATATAGGACGATATTTATTATATTGTAGATGAATTAATAGATATATGTTCAAAAAGATGATCCAAAATATGGGAGAAGAAAAATCAAGTATGATATTTGATGCTAATTAATTTTGAGTCACTAATAAAAAATATCAACATTCATTTAATTAAGTAACAAAAAAAAATCAAAATTCAAAAACAACGATAAAGAGTGTGAATTGAACAATTGAAATGTTAGCATCATAATGTGCCCTTTAGTTTTCACATATTTGCAAAATGACTATTCTGCAGCAAATACTCACGAATATTTAGCCAATAAAATTTTAGCAAGATGGCAATATTTTTTGCATTCAAGATTCCATGGTAAAGCACAATATATCAAAGACAAGTTGCTTTACTTAAGTATATTTGTCATTCATGACCTTGCTTTCATGAGAAGTTCAAATGTATAAAAAATCATTATATAAAATAAAAAGTATACAACACTTTTTATGCCTAAAAATATTTCAAAGAATAAATATTATATGCAATCACCCGAACATAATGTAATTTTGTTTTTATATTTATTCAATTACAAATTATTATATAGGATAAATATGTTAATTTTTATAATAATTATTTAAATATTTACTCAAAGGATGACTTTTAACCGATGAATGTTTAAAAACTTTTAAATAGACAACGAGTATTTATTAAACACTATAAAGTTGACTTACAGGTTGAAATAAATGCATAAAGATTTCAGTTTAATCTTTAATGTCGTTATTGTAATTTTATTTCAAGTGGTATCAAATTAAAGATTTTTTATCATTAAAATTAACTAGTTAAATTTTTTTATTGGTAGAGATTAGTAATTGAGAAATTTAGTGAATATTTTACATAATAAAATAGTTATAAAGAAAAAACTGTTCTCATTGGGTATTACTTTTATTACATGGGATTGTGGAAACTTTATACAAATCTGAATGGTAAAAATAAATTGTGCACAACTACGAAGATGGCCAATTTGATTACTTTCTAATGCTTTTGGTATGTTTTTTTATTTTTTATTTTTCATTTCGGTTCCCAGGGAACCGAATTCTGAGTTGGTTTTAATTTTTATTTTTATTTTTTCGTGTATGGGGCAAATGTGGGCTGATGTGGGAAGCGGAACGGCCCGTTCCAAAAGCAGAACGGCCCGTTCCAAATATAGACTATAGAGATACATAAAATATGTTATTAAATTTCATTCAAAATTAACATTATAATTATATGTAGTTATATCATATATATATATATATACATATATTATATCTATAATAATACTTTTTATATGTCACTGTATGTAACATTTCTTTTAGTATTGAAAAAATAAAATAAAATTTAAAATAAGTGTCATATTAATTTTTCAATATAATACCAATTACTTCTTTCATATATGCCCTTCGTAATAATTTTTAAAAATAATGATTGTTACATCGCTTATAATTAAACAAGATGAATTATAAGATTAATTTTATAAAATTACTATTATCTTTTATCTATTTATTAATTTTTTTTATTTATATAAAATAACATAAGACAACACTTATTATATAATAGACGGAGTAATAGATATAAGTCCATTATATTTAATTTCATACTCACAAAATTCATCATTATAGTCCACTTTCAGAAAGATGATCCAAAAAGTGAGAGAAGAAAAAATGAGTTGATTCATTGATTTGATACTAGTTAATTTTGATTTGATGCTAATTAATTTTGATTCACTAATAAAAAAATATTATCAGTCATTTAATTAAGTAACCAAAAATAAAAATTCAAAAACAACATAAGGTGTGTGAATTGAACAATTGAAATGCTAACATCACAATGTGCGCTGCTTTAGTTTTCACATATTTACAGGATATTTTGCCAATAAATTTTTAGCAAGATGACAATATTTTTTGCATTCAAAATTCCATGGTAAAGCACAATATATCAACAAGACAAAGTGCTTTACTAAAGTATATTTGTCATTGACGAATTAAAGTTTGGTGGAACTTCTTCTAAGAAAAATAATTAGGCTACCTAGTGGAGCCGAATAGACAAATGGTATAAAAATAAGACAGGATAAGAAAGACAGAGCATCCCACGTACTGTATCATTATTCTATAACACCCCTCTAAGAATACCCCAAATCCGGTTCATGATCTTGCTTCACTAAGAAGTCCAAATGGGGTCCATATCTCAAAAGCATTAGCATCATTTGCAGTTACCAAAAACACCATCACTTGTTCTAAATTCTTTACTTGCCTTGCCCAAATTCTCATGGAATTGATGCTTCTATATAAATTAGTTACATGGATAAATATGTCAATTGGTTCACTAGTATATAAGAAGGGCAAACTCGTTAGTCAATAACAAACAATAACTTCCTTAATAACTAAGAAGGACACTCGCATTTCATTTGCTCAATTTCACACCCTCCAACAAAAGTTTGAGTTGGAAGCACATCATAAACAAAGCAAAAACTGAGTGCCTCTCTCCCTTTTTAAGTGGAAAGAAAGCTGAAGACACTACAAGAAGAAACCAATAGAGAAGAAACTAGAGAGAGTGAGAGTGAGAGATATGTATAGGTTCAGCAACACAGTGATCGGGTTCTTGAACTTGTTCACACTTTTAGCATCAATACCTATAATTGGAGCAGGACTATGGATGGCAAGGAGCAGCACAACATGTGAAAATTTTCTCCAAACCCCTCTTTTGGTTATAGGATTCGTTGTGCTTGTGGTGTCATTAGCAGGCTTCATTGGTGCATGCTTTCATGTGGCATGTGCACTATGGTTGTACTTGGTGGTCATGTTGTTCCTCATAGCAGCACTCATGGGTTTGACCATATTTGGTTTTGGTGTGACTAGCCAGGGTGGTGGTGTGGAAGTGCCTGGCAGGGTTTATAAGGAGTATCATCTTCAAGATTACTCACCATGGTTGAAGAAGAGAATTCAGGATCCTCGCTATTGGAACACCATTAGGAGCTGTATTTTGGGGTCTAAAACTTGTGCCAAGCTTGCCTCTTGGACCCCTCTTGATTATATGCAGAGGGATATGTCTCCAATACAGGTTAGTAAAATAATTATGTAGCTTCTTTGCCTTTTGGTTTTGTTTAGGATTTCCAATTTTGGTATACTCTCGTTGGCTTCCCATGTGTGCAAAATAAAATTCCTAATGACTAGAAATCATGAGCTAATGAACTGAAAAACTAAACTTGAAATAGATGGTTTCATTATGTAGTGGGCTAATGATGACCTTTTTATTTTCCTTAGTTCCTTTGGGTTGTTAGTTATTACTGGTACTAATTTCAAATGGTAGCGAAATATAAATTTTCATTTTACAATTTTGACTATTAAAATGAAGATTATCTTCATTTATATATTTTATCTTAATCATATTTTTAATTGATGTAAAACTTTGATTTTTTTTAATATATTTTTTATATTCAATATTATTAAACTTAATTGCGAGAATAAAATTGATGAATGACTATTTTTATAGATTTAGAATAGACTTTAATACTCGATTAGAATATAAGATTAAAACCAATTTATAAGATGAATTTACTTTATTTAATCTTATTTTTAGTTGACACGAAACTTAAGTTTTTTTTAATATCATTCCATTGCTATTATTAATTTTCAAAGTCTTGCTGCAACAAATAACCAAAAGAAACCTTTTTCTTTTGTGGTGATTGTTGAGTTATGGTTGTATTTTGGGTTATGCAGTCTGGATGTTGTAAGCCACCAACTGCATGCACTTATAACGTGGCAACAATGATGATGAGCCAAGACCCTGATTGCTACAGGTGGAATAATTCTCCCAATTTGCTCTGCTATGAGTGTGATTCTTGCAAAGCTGGTGTGCTTGAAGACATGAGAAGGAACTGGCACAAGCTCTCAGTTCTCACCGTCACCATGCTTGTTCTTCTCATAGGGATTTATTCCATTGGATGTTGTGCTTTCAGAAACACAAGAAGAGCTGAAACTGATTATCCCTATGGTGAAAACCGGATGACCAAAGTCCGACCCAGATGGGATTACCATTGGTGAGTCCTAAATTATCCACAAAATTTGAGTCATGTTAACAGTTCATTTCCCTTCCAATAGTGAAATCACATAAAGGAAACATAAATCACGTCCTTCAATTTTGGAAATCCAAAGTTCTTTTTGGCTGAAAATTTATTAGTCTAATAAGTATAACTTTCTTTTCATGGCCAAAAATATTTCAAAGAATAAATATTATATGCAATCATCTAAACATAATGTAAAGTAATTTTATTTCAAGTGGTGTCAAATTAAAGTTTTTTTTACCATTAAAACTGATTAGTTAAATTTTTTATCGGTAGAGATTAGTGGTTGAGAAAGTCAGTGAATATTTTGCATCATAAGATAGTTTAATAAAAAAAAACTTTTCTCATTGGGTATTACATGGGATTGTGGAAACTTTATACAAAACTGAATGGTGAAAATAAATTGTGCACATGACAACTACGAAGATGGGCAATTTGCCTACTTTCTAATGCTTTTGCTATGCTTTTTATTTTTTACCACAGGTGGAGATGGTTACATGACAGGAAAGAACAGCTTTATTAACTACCATCCATCCATAGTGGGACAATTCAATTCACTAGTATGGGTAGGGAAAGCATCAAGGCCTTTGTTTCTGCCACCTTTCCTAATTGGCTGCATTTTTGTTTTTGTATAAAGCATATAATTTTGGCTTTTGCTTTATCTTAAATATCACAACACTTTATTTTGCATGCCTTTTCTCATTAGTGGGTGGTTTTGAATTTTAATAATCAAGCACACTGAATTATATGCAACGGGAACGGGGTTGGATAGAATAGAATACGCACCCTAATCCCACTTGCTTTTCTTTCTTATGCATAAATGACTAAAAAGTATAAATAATGGAAGATGGAATAATCGAATAAGTACTAAGGTAAGGTAGCATTTTGTGACATGTTTGGTCGAGATGGAACGTCTATTTTCCATCTTATGTTCGCTGCATCTTAGAACAGAACTAAACTGGGAAAAAAGAACTTAGAAATTATAGGGCCTTATATTAGGCCCAATGAATAGAGGGTATCAATTACAGGGCTTGACTCATGTGACTTAATGACATTTTAATAATAAAACTTATATTTTATTTTTGTTTTCGTGTTTTAATTCATGTATCATGCAAATTAAGTCCTTTATTTCAAAATTTCATTCAATAATTAACAGGAATATAAAATAAGTTTAAAGAAATATATATTTTTTCTTTTCATTTTTACTCCAAGCAGGATGGCATCATCCGTCAAGTATGTCCTCTCTACTACAGGAAATTTTCAGTAAGATAGAGATACTCACAAGAATTTTAAATGGTTTTTAAAAAAATTTGACACTCAACCTCACTTTGTATGTACATCCCTCCTATTGAAAATTTTTGGTATTAAACAAGGTAGATACTCTAAATTGTTACCTTGTTGCTGTCTTTTTCTAGGTGTCAGAAAATATCTTCTCCATTTATTTCATTATTATAACGAATTTGGGAAAATAAATTATGCTCTCTATTACATGTGTATTATTTCCATTTCATTTATTTATCTAAAATCATTGTTATGGAGAGGATTTTGACCTTTGTAGGTACCCCATGAGTATAAAAAGGACAAAAAATAATGTGAAAACTTAAGACCCGATTACTTTTAGGATTTTTTTTTAATTTATTTTGTAAATAAAATTATTTCTATAAATATATTTTTGTGTACAATAATAACAAAAAAATTAGAATATAAAATTTTGTACATATTTCTTAAATTTCCATCGTGTAAACTTTAACGCTTCTTTGTAGATTCCGAGACATAGACCTAGTATAAGCAACAAGTCCTCTGTTCCAGGAGGTGTGTGTGTTGGAGAGTGGTTTTTATTAGAAATCATAGATGAAATTGAAATGAAGCTTAATCCAAACATTTTTTTTATATATTTAATTAGAACTCATCTCATTTTATTTGCGTTCTTGTTATCGTTTTAAAGAAAATTTAAAAGTGTATAATCTTTATTATTCTCTTTTAAATTTTAAAAAATATATACACACTAGAAATTAATATAATCTTTACATTGCTATAGATAATTAGTTTTTTTTTTGTAGTGTTATGGATAATTAATGAAAAGAAAAAAGAAAAATCTCCGTTAGATATTTGTAATTTGACGTAGATGGACATAATTGATAATCTGTCTTCTTTAGTACCAACAAACTGTTCATTTACGGTAGGGGTGAGCATTAAACCGACACCCGAATCGAACCCGAAAAATCCGAAAAAAAATATTGCTTTTGGGTGGGTTCGGGCGGGTCTTATAGGTAAATCGGGTTAAAATTTTGATTTTATACGGGTTATATTGGGCGGGTTCGGTTTTGAATTTTTAAACCCGCTAAAAACCGAACCCAACCGAAAATGAGATAAGTTTAAATTTTTATTACTTTTGTATAACTAAACAACAATTGTCCAAATTTAAAAGTCTTTATTTCAAGTATAATATAGCCATCAATTTGTAACTTATTTTTTTCCTTTTTCTCATAACTTAGATATTTATTTTGTCTTCTCCTTCCTCATTCAACTTCTCAACACACTAGTCCATTTTTAGAGTTATCTTTTTGCTTCTTTCTTTGTCTTTCTTTTCCATCTTCTTATCTCCATTTTGAGTACATTTTGTGTGACTGTGATTTCTTATGGTTTTGTAATCTAACTTTATATTTCTTTTCCATGTAACAACTATGAATTTTGTTATCTTTTATTTTTGCTTCTTTAGTTTGTAAATGTTTCAACTACGAATCTATTTACACCATCTATTGTCACCTTCATTCTATTTTTATACACTATTTTAAAAATATTTTTTATCGTTTTAAGCTTCATCTTCGTTAAGATAAATTAGTCTACAAAAAAATTCAAACCCGATTATACCCACCCGCTTAAATCCGAATCCGTTTCAACCCGAACCGCTTCAAATCGAAAGCTCAGTCGGTCGGATATGGGTCACATTTTTTCAAAGCCGGTTTACAACGGGTTGAACATTTTTCACCCAAACTCGACCAAACCCACCCGTTCCTCACCCCTAATTTAGGGGGACAAAAAGTAACGAATTATTAAAAGCATTCCTTAAATAGTCATGGTCCACAATCGGCTATTAATTACATTTAAGTGCTGTTCATGAATTTAGTTTCTTAATGTAAAGATGTATTTTAAAGTATAAAATAAACTTAAAAAATTGTTGATTAAAAAATAATAATTAAAAATTATGATAAATTAAATATACGTATAATAAAATCTAAAATTAATTATAATATTTATCGTTGATTTCTTAACATAAAAATGAAATAATTTTTTTTATAAAAAAGTTTTGAAAATTTTTATTGTACTTTTTCTTTTTTATTCTATAATAAATACATATTAGTTATAAAAATATAAATTAATTAAAATTTAAATATATCTAATAAAACTAATTAATATTATCTCAAACTTAAAAAATGACACATAAACAGGAATAACAATATGTATGTTTTGTGTGAAGAAAAGTTCTGAAGTGGGCACACAGAACAAGTTGATGAAGTCAGAATTGAATTCAAGAGTTGTCAACAAATTGCAGTGCAGATAACTCGCAACTTGTGAGTTGTTAAGAAGTATCTATCCAAGTAGGAAGAGGAAGGGTTCAGAAATTTGTCCTCAACTCCAACTTGGTCTTCAACCAAGAAATTAATGCGATCCTATCTGGCAGTTCTTTGGTGGATAAATACTGCTATATCCCAAAGTCATTGAAGTGCCCACAATATATGGATGCAGCTATTATAGGGTCATTCAGTTATGGAAAACTGAAAATTTTGATTAGGTTTATACAACCTACGAAAGAGACTTAGGAAAATGCTCATTATACTGTCTTTATCCCTTCAAACTTGGTGCAAAATCCATTTTCAATCTTACTAAAATTCAAATTTTGCATTTTGATTAATCAAATAATTAGTAATTATAGAAACCAATCTACTAATTCATATGCTATTGCATGTTTTTAACTTGCTATTATTAACTCATGGTTTACTATTAAAACATTCCTTTTCACTTTCTAAAGTCTCTCATATTTAATGTTTAACAATGTTGTATTCCATCTTTTTCATTTTAATTGTCAATTTTGTAGTAGAGTTTTATTTATATTTATTTATCTGTTTTCTAAAGTCTCCCATATGCAATATTTATCCAATATTGTACTCCATCTGTTTCATTTTAATTGTCAATTTTTTTAATAGAGTTTTGTTTGTATTTATTTATCTTTTTAAAATTCAAGACAATATTTATTATTAATTTTTTGTCAATTGTATCTGTACTTTTTTTTAATCTAATTTTAAATTAATTTATACATTTATAATTAATATGTATTTATTATAGAGTAAAAATGAAAAGGAATATATATAAAAAGCATCATTAAAATTATTTTATGAAAATAAAAATATATTATATTTCTTAGTTTATAATAAAAAATTTAAACGGCTACTAAAAAGATATGAAAAAAAAAACAGCTATACTAAACCTTCATTATGAGATATTCACTCATTCCATCACACTTTCTGCATAAAAAACCTATCACGGACATGCCATCAATCTTAAAAAACTATCATTTCAGGATTAAAAATATCAAATAAAAAATTCCAAATTTCTAAATAATCACTCTCAATATCATAATTTGAAATCAAATTAGATATAAAGTCATGTTCATTTACTAACAAAATTAGACGGAACAAACAATGGAGAAATACCTAAAATGAAATTGGACACATGAGCCGTCAACCACATTGACTTTGTAAGCTAAGATAAGTAACCAACGATAACCTCGTATCTAAGAAAATAATATGTCCAAATTAGCAATTCTTTTTAATACCAAAAGACCTTTATATTATTTGTAAAAATATAACATAATCTTATTGAATATTACACTAACAATCAATTGAAATACCTAAAAAATAATTTAAAAATTGATTTCTTAATTAATTTATTAAATTTTATTCATAAAATAAATGAATTGAACTTAATATAAAAAAAATGAGCTTAATAAATAAAAAAGTTAAAATTGAATTGCACATAACTCGACTCGTTTGATTTGTAAATCAACTCGATATATAAAAATATAATTTATATAATTATTTTTTAAAAATTTTAATTTATTAAAATTTGAAACAACATTGAAAACTTAGTAAGTCAATAGTAATAATAATAATAAAAACAAAATAGATATTTTAGGGTTTCATCATTATGAACTAATTTTCTATTATTTTATATGAGATAGGGTAAATAGACTTTAGTTGTAATTACATTTCCTTAAATCATATCTCGTGATGTGTAAAGTTAATAAATAAGTTATTTTCATCTTTTAAAAGAAGAAGTTGTTATTGTACTTCTTAAAGATAGAAAAATTTCACTATATTATCTTGTATGGACTAGTAAAAAATTCAAAAAAGTCAATTTAATTACTAAATGAATAATCTAGATTATATTTATACAATAAAAAGTAAGACAAAATTATAAGATTATAATAATGTTATACAAATATTAAAAAAATTAACAAATAATAGAATTGAAAAACTAATTCATTCCATAAAATTTCAAAAATTTAAGCCAAAAAGATAAAAATATGTTTAAAAAATATTAAAATTAAGTTATTTAAGTATATAATGATACTATTACAAAAAAAGCTATATCATATAAAATGAAAATAAAACAACTAAATAATTTAGAAAGAAAATGAAAGATAAAATATCCAAGAAAATATAGTAATTATTAAAAATAATAATAATATTATATAGATAAATTATTAAAAATAATAAATTTGGAATGAAATTGATAATTCCGATTATATCGGTATTAAGAAGGATATCATAGAATTTTCATTAAAAACAATTATTTTATCTAAAATATATCAATAATATAAAAATATGAAATACATAAAATTAAAAAAATAATTTTAATTTATGTTATTCGAATTAACAAACTAAATAAAGCTGTTAGTGATTCTGAAATGAATTAAGTTTAAATTAAAAAAATATATTAACTTGAGTGAATTAAATATTATCAAGTTAAATCGAATATAACTGAATTAACTTCAATGCATTTCAGCTCATTTTCAATCCTAAATTATAAAATTGAATTTAGATAGTGTTTAAAAAAAGTGTCCATATTTCATTATAAAATACACTATTTTATTGCAAAACAATATATATATATATATATAATATTATATTATTTTTCTAATTAGGTTTTTAGTTGCTGTCATGTCAAAAACTTTATAAGTAGCAGACTTTATATTACTTTATCGGATACGGTATTACCATTCCCATTTCCCACAAACGAGGATTCTAGATATCCTTCAATTTTTTATTCCACAGGTTCACGTGTTATCAGATGCAATATTTTAAAATTGAGTAGTTTTTTTTTTTCTTGAGGAAAGATGGAGTATAGTTATTCGTAATGGAAGTAAAAGAATATAAGAAAAATTAATTTAATATATTATTATTTTCCAAAACATAAATTTATAGAAAAATATATTTAATATATTCCAATTCGCATTTTATATCTTTTAATACTATAAATTTTCATGTATTCTATTGCTTTTTTGTTGGGCATGTATATTATTGACTTATGACGCGGCCACAAAAGACTTTAACATGGAACAAATTCCGAAAAGACTTGTTCCAATTTACTACAAATTAGTATCAAAGATATGTATGCATGATTGGTTCCTATGTATACTATTCCAATAATTAACAACGTAATAATTTTCAACAAGATAAAGACCTAAGCCTAAAACTATAAGTTAGAAAAGAAAACTTGCGGTGTCAATGTAACGGTGTTACGTATAATGGAAACACAATACAACTAGCTTTTTGTGGACCCCCCAAAAAATTGTTGCCTCGTGAAAATTTTCATGGAACAATTCTTGGTTATATTTTGTTTTGGTGGTTTACATATAATTTTTTCTTTTCAAATTTTATAAGAAAATGTTTTGTTTAATGAAAGACCAAGATATGCTCCCATTACGATAACCTTTTTATATTTAGAACAATTTTTTTTTTTTTTTTATCTCCGATACTGTTGCTTATTTTTCCTTCAAATTGGGCTCATTTTTACTAGAAAAAAACTGTTGCTTATAGAAGTAATTCTATCACAATTCTGTAATTTTTTTAATCACAATTATTTATTTTTCATATTATATCTATTAGACGAGAGAGTTAAATATTAAAGAATATTCTACTCAATTGATAGTGAATAATTCATATTAGATTGGTGAATTTTTTCACTTATTACTTCTAAATGGACATCTAATCACTCAGTAATAGGTAATAAATAAATTATATAAGTAAATTTGAGATTATATAATAACCTAAAATCTTAAGACATTATATCAATAATATTTCTCATTTATATTATTTAATATGTTGAACTTTTTTCTACTTAAACTCCAATAATATTATCACGGTCTTAAATGTGGGGGAAAAAATCTTAAATATGCAACAAAGTGTTAAAACACTACTTTATATTCGTAGAAGACATTTTCAATGAAGATCTAAAGAAACAAATTTTCATAAATTAACGTTTTGTTTCAAAACTTTAACTTAATTGTGCCGAAATTTGATCCAAACATAAATGAACTTGTGTAGCAGCTTTCATAGTAGAGTGTACATTGCAGTAAAAAAAGATTAAAAAGAAGAAGAAGAAGTAGTGTATATATTCAGTATCAGTATGAATGCTGGAGTGGGACTATGCGTAATAATAAGATTTCTGAGTGCGTGTCTCATCCAGTTTATATACTACTTACTCCTTGGAGAAAAGAAATGTGCATCTCTAGTTTTTTTTTATATAAAATAAATAAAAGGAGAAAGGAATGATGAAAGTTAAATATATTTTCGTCTATATAACATGTATTATTATTCTTTATCCGGAGACAATTTTATTTAAATCAGATATAATCATTATAGGATGATAAAAATTTTCTTTTAAATATTTAATATAATTTTATTTTTTGATCTCAAACTCAAAATCATTAATTAAATTGGAGTGGATAGTTAATTTTATGCTACTTGTTTAATAAAAATTAGGAGAAAGAGAGGTAATATGTTTCTTTTACGATCTTTAACAAAAATTAATTATTTAATATTTATAATGATAAATATTTTATACTAATTCAATGATTTAAAAAAAAAAATATATGTATCAAATTAAAGCTTACACTTTCCTTGCACAATTTGCTGGCATTCTGTCACATGATTTTATTTTGTTGCTTGACCCCCGTTACGGTTAGATTATGGTAGTGAAGTGAGTAGAATGTAGTATGAGGACTTTTAGTTTTTCTCATCTATCTATAACATTAATAAAAGATTTTTTTTTTGGTGTTTATATTTTTTTATTCATTTATTTTTAATTAATTAATTTACTTTTTTTTTTCTTTTTAATTTTTGTTTAACTACTTCATTATTATGAAGTAAATCACACATTTTTTTTTTAATTTTATGTTATTTCTTCGTTTATTTATGACTGACTACTAATAAATAGAGTTTAAACGAGATTAAACTTCTTCCTACTTTGTTTGACCGGTTACTGGTTGAACATGTCCAAGTCTTCAACACGCTCTTCTCTTGCATGCTATCTCTTCTGTATGTATATAAACCATAGTATATATATTATATAATTAAGCAATTCCACAACACTATCATCACCAACACTCTCCAGAAAAATATACGTCTCTAGCTAGCAGTTAACATAATCACAAGAAATAAAAAAGATGGGTGATAAAGTCCAAGTTCTTCAGAAGAAGTTGGATCAAACTCCAACGTGGGCTGTTGCAGTTGTATGCCTTGTCATGCTTGCTATTTCAATCTTCATTGAACATGCTATTGAATCACTTGGAAAGGTAAACCTCACATATATGAAGTTACAACAAGAAATCAAATTGAAGCATATTATACATATTCCTGATCTCATGTTTTGGTGCTGCAGTTGTTAAAAAAGAAACACAAAAAGGCTCTTCATGAAGCGCTGGAAAAGGTTAAAGGAGGTAGGTGCTTCAATTATTTCACTTGATCTTCTTATAATGATGAGTCTAATTGAATGAAAACTAAGCTATATATATATATACATATTGTTGGTGTTTAGAGCTTATGCTGCTTGGATTCATATCCTTGCTCCTAGTGGTGTTTGAAGATCGTATTTCTGATATCTGCATCTCAAAAGAAGCTGCATCCTCATGGCATCCTTGTGGTCCCGATGATAAGCATAAAGATCCAAAAGGATATTATGACAAATGCGCTGAAAAGGCAAGCACTAAATTACCTTATTCCCTCATTTTTTTATAATTTACTTTCATTGCATTAGATATTACCAACAATTAAAGCCTACATGTTTTCCTTCAATTTTATTTTTTGATATTTTGCAGGGTAAAGTTGCTTTTGTGTCTGAATATGGGATTCACCAGCTCCATATATTCATCTTTGTGCTTGCTATTTTTCATATCCTACAGTGCATCATAACACTCACTTTGGGTAGAACTAAGGTATACTCTCCTCTTCTCACTTTCATTCCTCATTATTAACTTAATTTGCCTCCTTTAAACACATCGAGTTAGTAGTCCTACAATATAAAATGATATTAGTCTCTATCTCGATACATCAGAGATATTTGTGCATAAAAAAAATGCTCTATTAAAACCATTTTTTTTGTTGTTGTATGCAGATGTCAATATGGAGGATGTGGGAAGACGAATCAAAGAGTCTTGAACATCAGTTCTACCATGGTAATTAACACATGCACTATCATATAGTTAAATCTGAAACAGTTCAATGACAATTAACAAAGTTAACCGTGACATTTATTGTGAAAGCTAGCTACAAGGTAAAACACGTCACGGCATAAATAAAATATCGGCTTAAATCTTAATGCGTCGAGGTTGACTTCTGTACGTATTAGATAAGACTTCAAGAGTGATATTTTGGTGCAACGTCGGCAAAAATTTATGATCTACACCAACCATGAGTGTAAATACAACTTTTTTTCTTCTTTTTCTCTTCTAAGTGCTCATTGTTTTAGATTTAAATTTAATAAAATTGATTTCCAACTATTAAACTTGATTGAAATTAATTTAAATAAAAGATTATATTAAAATATATGTCCCATGCATTATAAATTGAATGCTGTTGTAATAAATAAAAAATAAGGTATTACTAATCTTTTGTGACAATCAATTCTCGTTTATGATATATATGTTCAAGTCTTGTCCTTATCCCTATCTTCATTGACATTAAGTAAGTGATGCTTATTTAATGTCTAAAGGGACAAATATATATATAAAAAATTTTGTTACATATATTCCTATATATATAAAGTTACCTATAAATATATTCTTCATAATTTATAAAAATACTAAATAAAAAATAAATGTAATTAATATCTTGGAAGCATGAAAACATAAATACTTTTTCTTTCTTTAGAGTATTAATAAAAAAATGTTTGTAAAAAGATTTCAAAATATTCAAATATTAAATTTGAACATAGCTAGCCTTGTTATGTTCAAATTTAATATACCTGATTAATCTCTGTCGTTCGTTTATCTTTCATGTATATAATTAACACTTTTTTCTACTTGTTAGCATGTCTCATTAGATTAAATCTCTTTCGGATATACGCATTTGACTACTTTAGTGGGACAAAAAACGTTTAAAATTGTTATCCTTTTATGCCATAGTACTTTTTGTCATATATTCATAGAGCACTTTCACATTTTTTTGTGTCACACACCTCTCAGATGTATATGGAATAAACCTTTTAATCTTTGGGCATTTATATGGGCACATCTGAATATCTGATGGTGCATTGCAGATCCTGAGAGGTTCAGGTTTGCTAGGGATACAACATTTGGACGAAGGCACTTGAGCTCATGGAGTCGATCACCAATTTCCTTATGGATAGTGAGTACACAAATATCATACATGCATGAATGCATTAATAAATTTCTTACACTGTACTATTGTTCATAAAATTACATTGTTTCAAGCACATGGGTTGTTATTTGTGTCACAAATCTAATGAGGCCTTTGTGTTCTACTCCAATCAGGTTAGCTTCTTCAGACAATTCTATGGGTCAGTTAATAAAGTTGATTATATGGCGTTACGGCATGGATTCATCGTGGTAAGTTTGTATTCACAAAATATGTTATAGCTAGTTCGATATTTTTTGTTCTAAAGAATATCCTAATTAAACTAAGCTATGTAATTTTAGGCACATCTGACTCCAGCAAGTGAGGCAAAATTTGATTTCCAGAACTATATCAAGAGAACACTTGAAGAGGATTTTGTAGTTGTGGTGGGCATAAGGTAAGAAATAAGAATATGATCACTTCCTTTCTATCACTAACCAATATCTAAGCTTAACCATGCATTTTGGTACTTGCAGTCCAATCATGTGGTTCTTTGCGGTGCTAATCCTGCTCACAAATACTCATGGTAAGTCAAATTCAAATTTTGAATATGACATATGAAATCATTCATAATTGGTGTTACTATGGTTAAAGTTGAATTATATCAGACTAAAACAAGATAAAATCAAGATAGTTTTGGTCGTGAATTATTTCGACCATTTTCATGCACAGTTGTGTTAAATTGGAATGCCTAGGTGCACGTACAACTTAACTGTTTATTAGACTATAGACATTACATGCTCTTATATTCTTGTTTATTTCATTAATGATAATTTTTGTTCAACATGGACAGGGTGGTATGCTTATTTCTGGCTTCCATTTATCCCATTAATTGTAAGGACAAACCACACATTCTGCTTATGTTGTCGGTCTACATTTCCTTCTATTAAATTATCATTAAGTTTAATTTAAATATTACAGATAATCTTGTTGGTGGGAACAAAGCTACAAATGATCATAACAGATATGGCACTAAGGATTCAAGATAGGGGGGAAGTGGTAAAGGGTGCACCTCTGGTTGAGCCAGGAGATGAATTGTTCTGGTTCAATCGTCCCCGCCTCGTCCTCTCTTTGATTCAACTTGTTCTCTTTCAGGTAGGTTTTATGCTTTATTTTCCTATGATTCAACCAATTGTCAAATTGATGTGTTCTGCATTCCAATTCTTGTGCTATGAAAATAATTATGTTTGGCTCTATGCTGCAGAATGCATTTCAACTAGCGTTTTTTGCTTGGAGCACAGTAAGTATTCTATCTTGATCAACTTTCCTAAAAATTTTGCTTCAGTGGATCATGTTGTTTAGCAATACAATATTGAAGTTACAGCGGTGCTTAGACCATGCTTACTTGTTGAATCTGTGCCATGAAAAAATTGTTTGCAATAGAATGAAAATCTATCGGTACTAGGAAGTAGGAACCAATTAAGAGCAAACTTTCCTGAACCTCAAATTGTTTGAGCAAACAATAATAATTTTGATTAATATATACAACACTTCAATTACCTTAAAAAGCCTTACTCTAACTTGGTATCATTTTTCTTCTTACAGTATGACAATGGGTTAAAAATAAACTCTTGCTTCCACAGAACTACTGCAGATATTGTCATTAGACTTACAATGGGGTAAGTTCACTTCATTTACCAAAACTGCATGTGACATACCAATACAAGAAACAATCATTAGTACATGTGACTAGCATTTTGGAGATATTCCAACACAGTCTAGTTTGTTGGAGTTATATACATATACGAAAACTAATAAGAAAGTGACAAATTTTGCAGGGTTCTCACACAAGTTCTATGCAGCTACGTCACTTTACCTCTTTATGCTCTAGTCACACAGGTCAGATACAGGAATATTATATTCACTTCATTTACCAATACAATAAAAGATCACACTTGCATGTATGCGGCTCTTGTTGTTGTTGTTGTTTTTTTTTTAATTAAAATTAAAATTTTACTTTGATAATATATATAACAACATTATTATGCATAACAACTTAAATATCAACGATATTATTAAAAAAATACTCTATTTCAGACTAGAGAACAATACTAATAGTATCTATGATATTATAAGGATGTTTTGTTTTATAATAAATGTTTCAAGAAGAGTAGTGACTGATTTAATTTTGTTTTGGTTGGTATTATGTAGATGGGTTCAACCATGAAACCAACAATTTTCAATGACAACGTAGCAGCAGCACTAAAGAAGTGGCATCACACCGCTAGAAAGCATATAAAACACAAGGATTCGAGTCATTCTGCAGCCAACACACCATTCTCAAGCAGGCCAGGAACTCCAACACATGGCATGTCTCCAGTTCACCTGCTTCACAAACACCCTAGACACAGTGATAGTCCTCTAACTTCTCCAAGGGCACCTCATTACCATAATGAACAATGGGATGTTGAAGGGTCACCTTCCCCAAGTCATCATGCAAGAAATCATGAAGACACCATGCAGCCTCCAACAGCAGAATTGACTCCTATTGGACTCCAACCTATTAGGACTCAACATGAAATCAACATTGCTTTGTCTGAATTTTCATTTGGGAGGGGACACCACACTAATAATAGTAACTAGATGAGCATTAGAATTTGAAACATTTCCTTGTTTATAGCTTCAATACATATCCAACACTTCTATGTTGTAAATTAACGAGAAGCAATGCATTTGAAGATCGGAATGAAAGTGATGTAATTTTGTTGGGACAACATGACTTGTTACATCTATGGTCGATCAAATTCATACAATTGTTTGAGGTGATCAACCCATGTAATGTAAAAGGAAAAAAAAAAAAAAAGAAAACATACAGCAAAATTCCTTCATATGTATTTTTTAATCAAATACTTAGTCTTAATTTATTTGGAGCTTTTCCTCTCCTCTAAGAGAGAAGTTGAGAGTTACATATATAATTACATTTACTTAATTTTTATCACAAAATTAATTAACAGCAACAATTATAATTTTTATTAAGTATTTTTTTTTTTTACTTTCATATCACCTTTTGAAAATATTAAAACATTAGAGCTAATCTATATGCATCGTTAATGTAATTTTTTTTATGCACTCAACAAATCAGCAATCATTTTAAATATAATTTTTAAGCCAGTAATTAGTTTAAGCCTACTTTCTAAAATTATTATAAAAATGAACAATTTTATGGTACGCGATAATTTATGATTAAATCGAACTGTAAAATCTCTTTATACTATGATTACATTTAAATTAACTTTACCACAAATAAAACATCACTTTAATTCTTCTTTGGGTGTTAAATTTTTAATTCTCCCAAACCACCATTCCACCACTGAGCTGGCATTAAAAAATGTATCCAAATAACAGCATCTAAAAAGGATATATCAAATTACATCACATGCATAAATAATGATTTACTTTAAAAGTATGAAAAGCTTCTATAATAATTAGTTTTATTTAAGATTTTGATTGGCTGAGAGTGTAGGAATTAAAGTGAAAATGGAAAAGATAATGAAACAGTTAGAACGAAGCAGCAGTGGCAACACCGGAATCTGCTAACTCATCTATTATTCTTTCTCTCTCTGCTTTCTTCTCCATCCTTCATCATTAAATCTCAACCGTTCATCAGATTGCATCATCGCCACTCATGGAGGTCCGTTCCAACCCCGCCGCCGATAACTCCTCCGACCACCGTCGACCGTCCGCCCTTTCGTCCAAGCAGCCACCTCCTTCTCCTCACCCCGTCGACACCTCCGCCGTTTCACAGAGGCGAACATCTCTCTCTCAATTCACTACTTCCTCAGATTCAATTTTTATAAAAATTGAACCTTTTCTTACCCATGTCGAAATGAAAAGAAAAACTAATTTTTTTTTCTCGATTTTCGATACTTATTTGCATGATCAGATTTTGATTTCTTCATGGCAAGCGAATTTGAGTTCAGAAATTTTGATCCTAAATTTGATATGGTTGAATTTAAAGTTTCCATATTGGGTTTTTCCTTGGAATTGCTTTTGATGGTTTTTTTTTTCTTCATGTAATTGCAGACTCCAGAAGGAATTAATGGCTCTCATGGTATATCTCTTTTTGCTGTAATTATGATCGTTGTTGTTCTTTATTGTTATGGACCTTTTCTCTTGAACTCCCCTACATCTCTTAATACTTTTGTAGAATCAATTCTGATTTAGAAAGTTGAATTCTTAAGGAACATCTAGAAAATCATGATCCTTTTCATTTTTTCTTTTTTGGTCCAGGGTAGGGGTTGGTATTTTCTTTTTAAAACTGCATATGCAATTGCATTGGTTCTCTGATTGCCTAGTGCGAACTTATGTTGCATGTGTAAATTATTTAAAATTGAATGCTAATTTTATTCCTTTAAGGATGACACCTTCTAAGAAATGAAAATATTGAGGTTTGGTAATTTTAGTTTTTTGGTTGTCCAATGTATTGATATTTTCAGAACCATCTAAAGTATTGCTGCTCTGTTGAGTAAAATGTTATATGATTACTGTAAAAAATATTGGTTTGACTATGGACATCCTCTATCGAACAATTATATTTTATGAATCAATGAAAGTGTGGTGGTTTTATTTTGAAGAATTGGACAATTTTATTTTATGAAACATGTTTGATTTATCCATGTAGTTTTCTAAATTAGCATCTATATTAGGGTGGTAAATAATTAATATTATTCTGTTGGGATATCATATATTTTGAAGAAACTACGGTGTTACAGATGCTTTCTTTTTAGTCATGTTATAATTTGTTATCTTGTTCTAACAATCACTAACTCACTAACACTCCAACTGTTGATAATGACTTTTCCTGCAGATGAGTGGAGTGGATCTAGGAGTATCGGCTTTTCCTGATGGTGAAAGTATTTTTACATGGATTGGTACAATTGAAGGTGGAAAAGGAACTTTGTATGAGGGTTTATCTTATAAACTCTCATTACGATTTCCCCTGGACTATCCTTTTAAGCCTCCCCAAGTAAAGTTTGAGACAATGTGCTTTCATCCAAATGTTGATCAGTTTGGCAACATTTGTCTGGACATCCTTCAGGTATTCATGAACTTAGAGAACAAAAGAGAATGTATTGTATCCAAATTTACCATTATCTTTGTTTTGGTGGCTCTTGGAGCTAATAACTGTCCCACTTTTGTGTTTCTACAGGACAAGTGGTCTTCAGCTTATGATTGCAGAACTATTCTTCTGTCTATTCAAAGTTTATTGGAAGGTCTGTGCTTGATATCTTTTTGGTTTTACATTCATCTTTGCATGGTTGTCTGAGCAATTTACTTTTGAATAATAGAGCCTAATCTGGAGAGTCCTCTAAACAGCTATGCTGCAGCACTTTGGAATGATAAGGAAGGTTTGGAAATACATGGCAACATTGTTTTCTGTTATATTAACTCTGCCTATTATTTGTTGGTACCATCTCAAGTTTTTTCATTTGATCTCTACCTCCATTACTACATTCCTAGAGAGTTTTTGGATTTGTCTTAACTTTTCACCTTTTTTATTCAATAGTGTAATGCTCTTGTAGAGTTCTGTATATTTTTGTTGAATGCATATTTTAACTGGGGCATGCATGGAATATGTCATCCAGATTACAGGAGAATGGTCCACAAACAGTTTTTTGCTGGAGAAGCTCTTGAAAGCTGATTCATACAATCCAAAGTGAGATCAATTAGTTTCCGCATCATAGTGATAAAAGTTTGCCTCAAGTAAAAATCTGCATCTTATAAATTTCATTTTTTATTTGCTTGATATTGTAACATGAAACTACGAGAGTTCTGAAGTCCTTTAATATCTTTCTGTAGAAAAGTAGTACAAAAATTATTGCAAGAAAGTAAAATGATGCAATGTCATCTTTGTGATATTTCCCCTCGGATGTACAATGCTTACAACTGTATATTGATGTCACGTAATATCTTTCACTTTGAAGCTGACGCTTGGATTCTCTTTGGATTTTTTACTACCCGGACATCCTAATTTTCTAAGTGCTTCAAAATTTATTAATAAGTTTTGTAATTATGACATAAATTTAAACTTTAGTTATCATCTCGTTTGTTGGTAAGAAATTGACATATTTTGATATTTAGAATAATCACTTAAAAGTGAGTTCACAAGTGAATTGCCCCATTTTGCATTGAGATTTGAGGGGTTTAACCAACTTATCATGTTTGTTGGATTCTTTCAATCTTCTATTAACACTTTAACTGTGTTTTTTAGACTCACTACGATAATTTAGTCTCCAGTTATCAGTTTAGGAATATTCCTGGTTTAGGAATTAACTTTTTCTATTAACAGAGGTAACAGGACACGTATACCAAACAGTATTTTGACATTTTTCATAAGAGTCTTCGTAGAAACACAGGTAGCAGGATTACAGGAAATAGACAGAACCATCCTTCTTTTCGGAATTGGTTCACCTTCACCTTCAGGAAATCAAGAGTGCACTGATTTAACACTGGGGAAAAAAAAAAAAAAGAAGAAAAAACTAAGGAAATGCAATTTTTTTTGGTTCGTCCCTGGAGTATCCACCGCCGACAGCAGTGACTAATCTCCTCGCTACGTTGGAGGCACCTCAAAAGGTGGGATAGCTGACCCCAAGATTTAACGCGGCTGCATATACAAGGCAGGATTCGAACCCCTGACCTTGCTTAAGCGTGGATCAACCCCTACCGTTGAACCACACGCTTGGGGTTAAGGAAATGCAATTTGATCTTCTTGCTATGATTCTGATATTAGTTCTTTAAGGACATTGATTGAATTGTATTTAATACATATTACTACCTTTAACATTTTCTATAAGAAATAAATTACTAATAACTAATTCATCAAAATTAATAAAAATAATTCAATTAATAATATTGTAAATATAAATTTTTGTTTTATAAAATACTCATAAAATTAAATAATTTAAGTGATAATTATATTTAATAGCATTATTTATAATTCAGGAAATAGTTTTTTTTCCCACCAATAAGTGTGATTAATATTGTTAGTAGTCAATGCACACAACACATTCATTTGCATGAAAAATGGATTAATATCTCATTAGTATATTTTATAATAAATTAAGAATATAAAAAAATTAGTAATTAATATATCTAAAATGTGTCTATTTTCTTATAATTAAGATAAAAACACCTATTTGCTTCTTATATAAATGACTAAAGGTAGTAACACATACTGAATGTTCAATCAATTACTCCATCTTTTGTGTTTTGTTTTGAGAGTTTTAGTTTGTTTCAAATTGTCATTTGAAGAAAAACATTAAGAAAACGTTACTTTTAATCTTAATTTATTAATATCCCATCGAATAAAAAATTATTCATCATAATAATCAATGCAATAACTTTCTTTTTATTTGAGCACAATCTTAAATTACAGATAAAACATTCAATCTTTCAAAAATTTATCGCAAAAATTTGCTTTTAGAAATAAATAAACTTAGTTACCAAATACAATTTTCCATTTTACCAGGAAAAAAAGGCAACTTTTACCAGTAGCTTTTAAAAATAACATTAACAACAACACTTAATGAACAGGTAGATACATTCGATGCGTCTCACTTCTCACACAATCATCATTAATTCGACAACTATTCACTTTGGATATAACTAAACAAGTGCATGTAATTATCTACTGGACACTGATTAGGAATCAAATGGAAATAACTAGAATAAGTAGCCATAACTAAGTAGTGCTGACTGGTGCAAAGATTAGTAACCAAAAGACATTTTCATTCATTGAAAATTTTGTAACACTGTACATGAAACTGTACATACTGACGGGGCATCTAGATATAGATAACAGCATCAGTCCCAGCGAACATACATATATAAACTGTAACTAAAACAAATTGCAATCCTATGCCTATATATATTTTTGTGTCATCCATAGAATTTTTTTTTTATAAAATTGTTGGATAATACTCTGCTCTCTTTCTGTTGAGAAAATTGGATGATTTAAGAAAATTTCATGCACTGACTGCGTATCTCTTAGGAGCGTCAAATATTTGGCCCAAGTAAGCTTCAGAAAGAGACACAACAAGCCGGTGGCAAGCCAATGTTGAAGCTGTAACAATTATTAGGAGGGAAGCCCAGGAGAACCGCAGCATCAATATTTTATCCCTACTTGCAGATTTTAGAACCTTAAAGAATATCACCCGAAGTCTCCGGTCTCTAAAGATGGAATCGTAATCATAAGTAGACAAGGATGATCTAGGGGATAGACCTGATTCTTTGTTGCTTGGTCCATTAGCCAATATCACCCTGGAATACTGAGTAACTGTAATTCCTTGTCCAAATAATTTAATCATCCATTGGTACAGTATGTCAACTATGATCTTGCAGACTTCTTGGCGAAAAACCTTTCCCTCCTTCGAGACCATTGCTTTGATTAACGAAGCTCCATCCTGTTAATTCCATGAAAAGTTTCATTCATTAAATAACTATTTCAGGCTTTCAGCCATCCAAGGAAAATCTTCAAGCACAAGCATATTCCATTTTCCCTGCCCACTAATAATATACTGTAGTAAGCAAACACTAAAACTAATAACGCAAGATTCAGTATAATAAACACAGTCATAGTAAAATATTTTATTTGGTACAATGAAAAGGTTTTGTCAATGAATCTACCAGAAGCTTAGGCAACCTGGAGAGCTGTGTACAATGCAATAAACTGGAACTACTTTAATCCATTTACACATCAAAAAATCAAAGGGTGCCTACAAGAGAATTTGGAAACCCCGTTCACACAAAATAAGCAATTAATCATTTACAACCACACAAGGAAAATAAACTAACCATATATCTATTTCTAGTTATGAAAAAGCAGTCAAACATAACAAACAGCCAATATATGTAAACAGAATCTTGAAGAACATAAAAGAAGCACGATAGACAGCTTAAAGGAACTCACAGCAGTCATGAGAAGTCTTCTGATAGCAACACCGTCTTTGGATGGTAAAAGTCTCAAAACTAAAAATGCAACATCGATTGCATCAGTGGCTTTATTTGATACATGATCAAAGGAAGTCTCACTATTTGGTGCTACTAGTTGCAAGGCTTTCCTGACAAGATATCAAAAGTATGAGACGCTACATCCACAGCAGTAAAAAAAATAACAATATATCAAGTAACAATAGATTAACTAAAACATGCCAGCCTAAGGCATATGTCTCTCATGAAGATCAGCTTGAGTGCAGGACAAGGTGTTTTAGATTTTAGAGCTTTCACGATAAAATAACAAATTCATAAAAATGGCACTGTAAATTTTATAGTGTATTTTGGTGCAATACAAATTTGATTCTGTGTATATAATATATAGTAGATTAAAAGAAACAGAGCCTGTTCCCCAGAGAACATATTCCCTGACATGTCATTTTGACATACCTAGTTGCCCCTACCCTCAAGAACAGGGAAAGCCTTTGCCACTGGAATTCCTTCCTACGGTTTAGAAGCACCTTAACACAAGAAAACAGTTAAAAAAAAAAGAAGAAAGAAAATAATGTTTTATACTTAAGATAGCAATGCAAGTTTAATGATCAAGTAATCTTGATAGTCATCGAGAACACATTTGTAACGGTTAAATCCATCAGTACCATAAAGATGATGTCTAGTAGTTCACGTAGATGAATGTGCAAAACTATGATGATTGGGTTGACAAGACATGCTAAAAAATTCATGTGTGCAAAAGTTTGAACAGGATTCATATATAAAAAGTATTACTAAATTTCTTCTCTTTTGTTTTCAAAAAAGATAAGTGCTCAGGATATATTCTCTACGTTTTTTATGTCAGCAAACACACAAGGAGATTTTTTTAAAAAAACAAAAAACCACATGAAGAGATGTTTCTTGTTACAGTCCTTCATAATATTGGCACAAAACTTATGTTCAAAGGCTTATAATACCGAATGCAATATATTCCTTGTGGCAGCTGAGTTTTCTGTGAGAAGCTTCCGAACAACATAAGGATATGCAGCTTCAAAAGTCTTGAAATTCGTATCAGCAGCTATAGCCAAACCTGATATTGTTTTAAAGCAAAATACAAGTTAAAGATAATGTAAAGAGAATAATAGAAATTCATTATGATTAGAAATATAGTATGGAACCATCGGTGTGTATCTACATAATGGCTTAAGCTTTCGGAAATGTTGGGTCACCACATGGTATCAGAGTCTCTGAGACCAATTGGTTTAGAGTTTGATCCTTGTTGCCCCAATCTTTCTAATAAAAAGTTGAATTTTAGCACAAGGTAGGTGAAAATGTGCATTATCCACACTTCAGGCCCGAAAGGCTCTTGCGTGAGAGAGAGTGGGGTAGAAGTATAGTATAAGTATATTCATGTGTCTCCACCTAACAACTTAAGCTTTTGGGATTGTTCGTTCAAGTCAAATACAAATATTTCAAATTACTACATGTTGATGCATATATAATGAATAGAAACAAAACTTCTTACTATGACAATAAATGACAAACCAAGAAGAAATCTACATGTTCATGTGGTATTGAAAGTTTACCTTCCAAAGAAGCTAGGGATCGCAAGACAAGTGTATAATATGGTGGCATACGGAAATGATGCTTGAGCGCTACACTCCAAATCTTTCCCAGAACCTTAAGGAAAATTCATTGAAAAATCAGTAACTTGGGAATTTTACAAAAGAAAAATAATAAATAAATAATTATTAACACATTTTCAACTAGATAGCCACTACTAATTTGCCTGGGTAAAAAACTTAGACACATACTGAACTTACATGAATATGCAGTAAGAAGTGCTACATATTAATTTCCCATAGCAATATTTAATAATAACAACCAGATGAGTATTACTAAGACCATTTTGTAATTCTAACAGAGCAGGAAAGGAAATCAGGCATAAACCATAGGGTATCGTTTGTTATTTTTATTTGTTAAATCCCAACTTACGAAACAAAA